ACATCACTACTGGAAAAACCATAGCTTTGACTATGCAGACCTTTGTCGGCAAGGTGATGTCTCTGACTGTTTAAAATGCTGTCTAGTTTAAGATGCTGTCTATTTTCTAAGTATAGGAGACTACAAAGTGGTTTAACAACCCCTTCTTCTTGGGGTCCTCTGGAATGTGCAGTTTGCACTGGGCTAAACAAAAGGAGATACCCTGGGAGACTGAACTCCCAACCCATGCAGCCTGGTGTTCCCATGCATCAGGCATCCCTATGGCCAGGCATCCCTATGGCCCTATCCCCACCACCACTGGGGGGAATCAAAAACCCCAAGGAGCCTCTGCCTATCTTCACAAGTTCACAAAGGGCTACATCCTACAGGTCTGCTGCCCCTTCATTGTCAAATAATAAAGAACAGAGACCCCCAAAAATCTGTGTTTGAGATTTCAAGCAATCACATCTCATTTTTAAGCTGAACTGTGCTTCTAGGAGTTTGATCTGGAAAAAAACAATGTGTGAGCTCCCCAGACACCTTGAGAGAAAATCAGAATGTGGCTTTCCTTGGTGCCACTATGCTCCTGAAATCTGGTGTCATTACACCAAATTTGGCAGGGGGGGTTCGAAATCCAAAGAAGAGATGTGCATGGGGCCCACAGGTCACATGTTATGCGTTTCTGCCATTTGGAAATAGAAACTTCCCCACCTGTTCTCCAACCCATCATGGTGTTCTAACATTGTAAAGAGGTGTGTAGACCAGCCACATTGTGCCCAAACCTTTTGTTCAAAATAATGACCCAGAAAAAGGAGATGCACAGCTGTGCCAACTTTGCATACAAGTGGGCACAAGATGGTTGTTACTGTGTGCCATCAGACTATTTACAGCTTATGCCAATCCAATGAATTAATGACCTCTAAAAGATCCTACCAGGAATCCCTGCCTGTCCACCTCATCTGAGTGGGTGGCTGCCAAGGGAGGAGGTGGAGGAGGGAAGCATGTGCTCCTATGATGACTGGATGATTGCACAAAGAGGAGAAAACGAGCAGCGCATGCTGCCTGGTGAGTGGGGGAGCCAGCTGGGAGGGTGGGGAAAGGAAACGTGCTACGAACCTCCAAACCAAGGTTCCTCCCCATTGCTATAGAGCTGAGCTTTCCGTAAGGGCTCGCAACCAGGACCGTAGCCTTCCTACCTGACTCTCATGCATGCCCAGGAAATGCCAAGTAGCCTGGTAGAGTGATTAGAGCAAACTTCAGTGACTGTTACAGTGCCCACAGAGTTTAGTTTTGTTAGAAAGGGCTGTCTCTTTTTCTGTCTATAGTTCTAAGAATCCTGGTAGTTGGAGGATTCTAGGACTTGTAGTTCAGAAAAGTAACTTTTTTTATATTGTGAAGACCCACAGTAAGTAGCATCACTCACCTTTTTCCATCTCATGTAAAGCCAGACTGCAAGGCAAAACAGGTGGCACTCATTAAAATGATACTTTTGCAGTAGGTAAAGCATCAGGGTGCCCTTGCATGTTCAAAACCAACACAATGGACAGTTCTGAGAGAACATTGGAAGTTCTAGATCTCTCTGAGAACTAGAAATCAAGAGCGGGAACTGGAGTTAGAATGGCAGCAGCGTGTCCCTTATTATAGGAAAAGAATGATAGAAGAGGTGAGACAGTGAGATACTGGACTGTAAAGTTTCACTCTTGTAATGATTAGTGGTTAAAGAGAAATATATGAGAAAATCCCACCAGCGCAATGTGACAGACTAATCAGAGAAACAGGATTGTTGTGAAAAGAAATTGTTTGTATGACACTGTAAGATTGTCCGTGTGAGTTGAATATAGGACAGAGTGACTGGGGTGTGTCAACACGGGCGGTGGGGACAGGGACAAAGAAAAAGACAAAGCGCCTGCAGCTGTACACTACTGCCGTTCCATTAAGCTACCCAGCTCGCGTCCTTTCGCAGGCATAGAAAACGTTTGGAGAGGCTTCAGGCTGAATGAAACAGTGATGAGAATGCTCTTAGATAACAGTCCAGAAATGGAGAGCTGCATCTAAACTCCATCTCATCTAAGCTGGAGGCAGAAAAAGGAGAAGCCCTTTCAAAATGTGAAAGAGCTTCCTGGCACAGGGCCTCCGTGTGCCCTCCCTCCACAGCGGCGGCGGCTCATTTTAGGCAGCTTTTGGGACACTGAGACTGCTGACCTAGGGGGAGAAAGAACCACAAGAAGCTGGGGGGGGGGCAGGGCAGGGGAACCCTGGAAAGAGAGTGTGTGAGAGAGACATGTACCAAGAACAAATGCTGACATTAAGAAAAGTAGAGGCACAAAACAGAAATCTATGCAGTATAGTCAGCAGTTCTAAAAATGCAATCTGAAAGCATTAAACATGCTCTGGATTTAATCAGCCAGCCATGGAAGAGGTGACACCCAGAAATCACAAATTTGTCATTGGCTGTGTTCTAGTCCGACAAGCCAATGGAATGACTGAAGAACCACATCATTTCAGCATTGCTACATGATGTGTCATTTCCCTAAGAGCAACTGTGTATGTTTCGTTAGTGAAAATAATAGATGGCTGTGATTATTTTCTCCTAGAATCTTGGCTTACAAGAGCAGAGAGTGTACTCACCCCTTTCTTCTCTCTGGGACCTTAGCCAAAGCCCTTTGCAAAACATTCAGATTATTGTATTCATTTTGCCTCCAATCCTTTGTCCAGTCATGTGCACTTATGCTCATATTTCTCAATAGACATTAAACTTAGATACTGTATGGCAGCTGACGTAGAAATTAAGAGTGCCATTTCACACACATAGTGCTTGTTTTGACATATAAAGCCCTAAACGTCTCGGGCCCTGGATACCTGAATGACCGCTTCCTTCCATATGAACCTACCCGGCTATTAAGATCTAGCCAGGGGGGCCTTTTGAAAGAACCATCCCTTAAGGAGATAAGAGTAATGACTTGTAGAGAAAGGGCCTTTTCGGCAGCTGCCCCCAGACTATGGAATGCCCTTCCGACTGAGATTCATCTGACGTTGACGCTGATGACATTAATGAACCTTCCTGTTCCAGAAGACTTTTAATTGAAATAACATCAACTGTGGGTCCCGATGGCAATTTTTAGAGTATCTATTTTAATTGTATTTTAATCATTTTATCTTATACTGTATTTTAATTGAATTTTAATTTTTGTGAGCTACCCAGAGACCTTTGGGTAGAATGGGTGGCATATAAGTTAAATGAATGAATGAATGAATGAATGAATGAATGAATGAATAAATGAATAAATAAATAAATAAATGAATGAATGAATGAATGAATGAATGAATGAATGAATGAATGAATGAATGAATGAATGAATGAATAAATAAATAAATAAATAAATAAATAAATGTTGCTGCCTT